TCCCAAAGTAGACTTCTATATAACCTCAACATACTATTGTAGTTTCCATTTTCTCTTCCATGATCCCAAAATAGACTTCTATATAACCCCAATATACTATAGTAATTTCCATTTCTTTTCCATTATCCCAATATAAACCCCAATACCTAAAACCTTCAGAAAGCCAAGCCCATCACCTGCCCATAAACCCCAGCGAGCATGCCCATTCCAGCCTTAGCACCTCGTAGTTCTTGTAGCAGTACAGGCCTCAGGGAAGTTTGCGGCTTCCAGGGTTTATATAGGGATACTGGAAAAGAAAATGGAAATTACTATTGTGTATTGGGGTTATATAGAAGTTTATTTTGGGATAATGCCCCAGGCAGCTGGCTGGATTCAAAGTCCGTGTCTTGGCATTTCCCTTTGAATGCAAGGTGCCGGCTGAGCTAGTTAAGAGTGTGACAAGCGGTGCAGGCCAGCTGCCTAATATGGGAAATGCAACAACATGCGAAGGTATTCAGCTGTGGAGGAATATCTTGGTGCCTGCTTCGGACATGTCTGGCATGATCAAAACTTGCAACAACCAGGGCAACAACCAGGGCTGCACCGCAGAACTTACCTAATTAACCACAACCAGCACCGCAAGAACCACGGCAGCATGCATTTGTAGCTTTTAGAGAGCTTCATAAGAGAATTACATATACCCAGAATATCATAGGGTGGAGGGCAGCCATTTCCACGAACCTTAGTCGAAGGGGGGAGGGTCTGGCCGGGGGTTTGTCGAACCTTGGCGGAGGGCATTCTACTGCAAAACCACTCTGGTGTACACATCTGCTTGGCCCTGAATTGTAGCTTTCCCAGATGCCGGGGCACGTGAATCCCACAGCTTGTGGTAGCCTCGATCCCCGGTCATGAAGTACCTGACACAGTAAAATCAAACAGGACATGAAGTAGTCGCTCCAGCGGCGCTGACAACTAAAACTGATAGCAGCATCCTTGCATTTCAGGGCTGAGCCGGCTCGTGATTGGGTTAGCTGGAATTTTGATGCTGCAGAGTGAGCACGTAGAGACTGTGCAATGAAACTTCAACCCTGCAACCCAGCAAACCATACATCTCCGCCTTAATAATGACAATAGTAATCATAATGAAAATAACAATTATAACGATGATAATAGTAATAAGAATAGATAGTAACAATAGTAAATCCTATCGAACCATATCACGTGCTCTGCAAGTTGCGACTCGCTCTCCGCTTGGCCGAAGTCCATGCCTCTAACACCAAAAGTAATCTAAAGGGTTTTCAGATCTTATTGTGGGTTTCGGGTTTAGGGTTTAGGGTTGAGGGATATTACCTCCCCCCACCGAGAATGAAGAATCAAATGGAAAAGAAAAAGCAAAATGCAATATGGACCCTAGGTCCCTTTGAAGGGGGGGCTTCGTTTAAGGTTTACGTTGATTATGCCCAATCATGGAGAATCAAATGGAAAACAAAATGGAAACTACTATTTCGGGTTTAGGCTTTAGGGGTATAATGCTCAACAATGGAGAATCACATGAAAAAGAAAATGGAATCTGAAATGGAAACTGGTGTTAGATAAGGGTTTTTTGGTGTACGTAGGGGGTTGGCATTGGGATTCATAGATGGGAACCGTAACTTATCAGTCAGGCTTCTGGAGTCAGCTTGATTTTGGAGATGCCTGAGAGGCAGGAAGGCTTTCGATTTATCATCTGGGGCTGAGGCTTGTGGTTCAGAGTTGAGGGTGCTTTAGGACTACTTGGAGGGTCAGGGGGGCTTAGTAAGTAGGTTAGTAGTGGGGATAATTGGGCTTACTATACGTTATAGGGGTTACTAAGCCCCTTATTAAGTCCCCCTGACCTTCCAAGTAGGATTGCAAACACAAAATCCATGCTCCCGTGAACCAGACTGAACCTGTTCTCGACGCTCAAGCTGCAATGCAAACTTTCGTGTAATAACCCCTATAACCCATAGAGTATTAACCTACTTACTAAGCCCCCCTGACCCTCCAAGTAGTCCTAAAGCACCCTCAACTCTGAACCACAAGCCTCAAACACCCAGCCTTACAGCACCCATAGGCCTCACCTGGATATAACTCATCATAGTAGTTTCCATTTTCTCTTCCACTATCCCAATCCAACCCAATGGTATACCCCATTAAACCCAAGATCCACCCTCTCCAACTGAGTTTGCTTTAGTGTGAACTCTTGGGCTGGGACCGTTGAGGCCGTCGTCCGCATTGTTCGACACGTGAGAGTGCACCAGGTCGATAAGCCTCGGCTTTTAGAATGGAAAGTGTAAGGGATACATTGGACATTACCCCCAAGAATGAGGAATCAAATGAAAAAGAACATGGAATATGAACTGGAAACTGTGATTACAGTTGTATTGGCTTATAGGGATTAGGATTTCCAAGCAGTATGGCTCTCTGTTGGAGAGGGGTGTAAAGGGGTACACAACGTTTTGTGGAACACCCACTTCTTCCAGGCAAATATGAAATCCCGGTAGGCCCCAAAAAGGATAGGGGAAAGGGGGAGGGTCGGGCTCACCACAATAAAGCTCAGGATGCACGGGAAAACCAACAGCGTTTGCAAATGGACTGACTGTGTGATGTGGCTTATCCACGGCTTACATGGTGACTGCATTAGTAGAATCTCGTTGGCTGGGACTTTGTGAACCGCCATTTGTGAGATGTAGGTCTTTGTACATTACTTGACACGTGAAGCCTTCCATGAACCCTGCGGCCAGTTCCACCTGAAACCGTAAGCCCTGACTACCCGTCGCATAAGACACGTTGATCGCCCCCATCTTGCTGTCTGCCGCCGCGGAGCACTAGCAAACCGAGACGATGGGCTTCATCAACCAGAAACTGGCGGCAAGCTACCATCCAAGCTACAGCCAATTGTTCTTGTAGAATTGTAGGGGATGCGAGATCGCATGGCAACATAGTTTGGGAGATACTGCATCACGACAAGCGACCTTATGCCAATGGGTCAGGGCTTGTCCGCGACTAAGGCTTAAACGTTAGCATGGGAGAGTTGGAAGGTTGGGCTGTCAGAAAACTGGAATGTTGGATGGGTCTCGTAGCGTTGGGATGTTGGGGGGTGGGACTGCTGCAGTCTGTAGAAGCACCGTAACACCAGGCCAACCATGGCAAGCGCAACTGGGGCACTGGCTGACTAGGCGCTCCATCCCATATGGCACCGCTGAAATGGGCAGCAGCTATGCAAAAGCTGCTGACCAACAAGCGTCCAGTGCTTACAAGCAACAACCTGCCCGCTTCCCCATGTCAATCGACTGTGAACTCCCAAAAAAAGTCGGGTATGTCAGTTTATTGTCACACCGCAAGCAGAATGTTTCAACCCTCACTGACCCCGGTCCGTGCAGGGTATACATGAGGACCTTGAACTCGTCCGGCGTGCCCGACCGCGAAGACACCGCGAAAGGCGACGTCACGTGATACCCAAACGAACCTGCTTCTGTCTTGCAATTGGGCCAACATAGAGTATAGGATCGGGAGAAAATTCCTGAGGCTGGAGATTTGGCCAGACGCGATTGTCAAAGTACCTTAACCGCCTCACCTCACCCGAAGAGCCCACGTACCCAATGGGTTTAGGGTTTAGGGGTTTAGGGTTTACGGGCTATATGGGGATAATGGAAAATCAAATGTCAGCTATAGGGATTATATGGATGTTATTCAGGATCGGGCGGTTTGAGCCTAAAGCTTTGGGGGTGATGACGCTGAGGGGTCCGGGCTTAAGGCCTAGTGCCATATGGGTGCTTGAGAGCTCTATGATCGGAATTGTAGTATTGCTTTGCGGAAGTGCATGATTATTATGTGGTAGCTTCCCAACATCTCGGGTACCCCAATATAGAACCAAAATACTATGGCCCTCATTACTGGGAACCCCCGAAATGGTACCGCGAATTTTGGGAAAGCCTCATGTACTTGGATCGGTAGGGTCATTGAGCTATAGTCTAAACTCCTAGTATCACCTTCATAGCCCCTATAATACTCCTCTATATATACCCCTCGTTTTAGGAGTTTAGACTAGAACTCATAGAATGATAGAGCCGCGGTTGCGTGCAATCTGAGCTTGCCCTCGACAACCTTTCCGCCCCTACCGACGTGAAAGGCAAAGTTTGCCTTGTTTCTGACTGGAGGCCGGTTTAGGGTCTAGGGCAGATATAATATTAGGGGCTATATAGGGGTTATCAGGGATTATATGAGGGGGTTTCCCTAGGGGTCCAAGTACCTGATGATCATAAACTTACATGTAAGGTATACACCATCTCAACTTTAGACCACTATAGACTCTAGGTATGGGAGAATGCAGTCAGAGAATTAAAGTCTCGAATTGGAAAAGGTTTAGGGTTTACGGTAAGCAGCTTCGGGGGAAAGCGCATTACAGTTGACATCTGATGTCAATGACGCCAGACAGCTGAAGACTCCCACAACAAATCCTAGAATCGCAAGCATCTCACCCATGCCCGTGAACAGTAACTCTAGATGGGTAGATGTTGAAGCTTGTACCAAATTCAAGTGTCCTTGGTACACTATATAATCCCCTATATAACCCAATATAACCCTATATAACCCTATATAACCCTATAATCAGAATCCAGCTGTTTGGGCTGCATGATGGCAGAAACCTGATGTTGACAGAAAGCCCTTTTGCACAAAGGCTAGGAGCCGTAGTAGGAGTGCTCCATGATGGCCATCAGCTGCACCTTGAGAGTACTCACACGTCACTCGGATTAGTAGTACGTGTCACAGGATTGAGGAAGCATCACCTGGATGTGGCTATGCCACTGCAAAATACTGGAGGTAGTCGCATGTCTGCGAGCAGCCTTTGAATCGAAAAGTTCCTCCGGTCCTCACCTAGCATGTTCTTACATGGCTGTGGGCAAACTTTAAAACCTACGCCACGGAACAGCTTGCACGCACACCTGGCTGCAAACCAAAATGTGTATCCAGAACTATGATTTGGGATGTCAGCTAGCTCTGGCTTAGTGCTCAGCCAAGGCGCACAATTGTAGCCAGCCTCCTTAATGCGTGGCAGCACGTCGCGAGCGAACTCCAGGTAGCTGTTGCACTTAGGCTCTGTGGACGACATACCCACGTGGGCCTCGTAGATGCCTGGGTCATGGAGCTGGCTTCAGTAACACAATAGCCCTTCTTGGAGGTCCCTGTAGCAGGTCAATTCTGCTTTCTGCAATACCATCAAAAGGACTCCCATTGAAGCAGTGCATTCTCCGGATGTGCTGGCCCACAGTCTCTTGAGAAAGCGACTCTAATTTGATACACTCCAATGCAAAAAGACTATAGAATACTATAGAACTTCTTGGCGAAAGGGCCCTCTCGGGTACCCTATGTGCACGTGATGTTTTGGAATTCCAGGCTGGTTGGAGGCCGCAAGCCTCTGGGTGCGGCTGTCTGCTGGCTCTCTATCGTCTGAGCCAGGGAATGCAAAGTGCTCACTAAGTCTAAAGCTTTCCAACAGTCAAACACTCTGTAGCCATCCGTAGATCTGGCAGGAGGTCGAAGTACGGGGCGTGCGTCATAGGAAGGTCTAACTTTACATAGCTTTTCAAAGACAAGGTCCCCTACATGTCCATAACCAACTTCAGTTCTGTGCATGTCTATCTAATCTCTTTGCAATACCTGCTTTCTTCAACCCAAGAGACTGCCAGCAAAGACTGCAGAAACTGGATGAACCCCCAAAGTCCCCTACGCAGGAGGGACTCCAATGATCTTTCTGTAAGCCACATAATCCCCCTCCCTTCGGCCCCCCCAGCCCCACCCAATCTGAAATACTCTCTAGTCGTTTTATCTCATTGTATATTGGAGTTCATCACGAGGGGTTGCGGGGGATTTACTCTTAGCCCTAAACCCTAAGCCCTGAACCCTAAGCCGCTAAGCCCAAAACCCTAAACGCTAAAAAATAACACCCATGTATCTCTTTAAGGGTGTGGTTTTCTATGTTACGGGGTGGAGGATAACTTTACATCCTGAAGATCATGTGATAGTGTGGCCCACTTGTATTTTCAATAAAGATAGGGGGGGGGTCCAATATAGGCCTCAATACACTAAAAGTGGGTTGACAATAAGAATAACCGGGGGCACTGTATATTATAGGGGTCAAGGGTAGATTTTAAAGCGGACCCCTCACCCTGCAATAGTGACTACAAAGGAAAGTAGGGTCCTCTTATACTCCCATTATCCCAATATTACAAGGCTCTAAGGGGTTTGGAACCCCAGTAGAAATTATGATTTCAGCTAAATATTAGGATTCTAGGTAACAGAAATTAAAAATATATTTTCAGGAACCTTGTAGAAGGTGGGAGTCCACCTGAATTATATATGTTCTTGACTGCGGCTTCCAAAACGGGCCTAATTTTGGAAAATCTGATTTCAGTCTTGCTGCGCAGTGAGCTTGGCATCGATGGGCGTGCCGATTCGAAACCTGCGCCACGAAAGAGGCTCTGGAACTCGGGTTGGGGGTTCAGGATGTTTCTTGGGAAGGTCGTCATCAAGAGACAGAGGGCTTCAGTGGATTATATAAGCGTACTCGGAGCGTATATTTCTGAATTAGTTCATGTCTCACTATGAGTGTATGGACAGAGGAACTTCAAGAGTGGAATCGCTTTTGGGGGAAGTCTTGAGGGGATGCAAGGCTGGTTTTCCCAGGGTCTGCTTCCTCCAAAGCCACCCTACCTACCCACCCACCGCAAGGGTATAGTCCTCCTTGAGTAGATAAAATACGGGGATTATGGAGATCGTATTATAATATATCCAAAGCCATATTCTATCTACTTAAGGTGGACTATAGCCTGCGAAGAAGTGGCTTCTGGGCAAGGAGAGTGACCCACAAGGCCTTGTCACCCAACTCGATACACCTCTAGGGCCCCACTCCACTCCCCACATCAACCCTAAACCCTAAAACCCCTAAACCCTAAAACCCTAAAACCTAAACCCTAAACCCTCCCACCCTAAACCCTGGAAGCTAAATGGACACGCCGCATGGCCTTGAAAGCAGTAGTCCTCCCCAGCTGCCTCCAGGGCCACACCATCTGGAACTACTTTAACAGGGGGGGCTATGGGGATTATATAGGGTTATATAGGGGTTATATATGGGGTTTAGGGTTATCTGAAACTACTCCAAAAATTAGGGGTCATATAGGGTTTTATGCGGGATAATGGAAAAGAAAATGGAAACTACAACCCTAAACCCGGGCTGGTAAACGCCAAGGCGAAGGCTGCAGAAGCATGGCGACATTGGGAAATGTGACTGGTTCTCCCCCCTAAATTAAAGCGGCTATATGGGGCTAGATAGGAGTATATAGGGTTTATGTCGGGATATATAGGGTTAGGGTCTATAGGGATAGGAGTATATAGGGGTTGTATAGGAAACCCGCCACTCAGGAACCACTCCACAGTCCGTCAATGAAAGGGAAGAGGGTCTCAAGTTCAAGGCCTCTATAGGCCGTCCGTATAAACTTGGTGCACCGCTTTCAAATGAACTTTGTTGGCTCCAAAACTTACAACCCCTATGTATCGAACCAACCCGCAGATTTTTTGTTTCCCCAAAGGGACATCCCATACGTACACTCAGCAAAATTGCCTCATTATGCTAGCCCTAAAAGGGCCCATAGTTTTGAAAACACCCCATCAACACCCCGCAAAAGCCTTTCCAGACCCTAAACCTGAAACCCTAAGTCCTGAAGCCTAAAAATAATAAGAGGATTTTTGTAACCCCAACCCCCAAACTTCGGACCCTATAACCATCATATGATAGTCATAGGATCCTGATCTGGGGGAGTGTCCTGAACCCTCAACCCTAAACTTGCATTTAAAACCCTAAGGCCAGCCTGCTGCGAAGGGTCCCAGTAGTAGCCATCGTACGTCGAGCCAAACTTGCCTCAGTCGGACTTCAAGACTGTGTTGAAAACCTGACTTAATGGTTCAGAGTTTGGATTTTGTCGTCCGGGGTTAGTTGGGGGTTTAGGATCCATGTCTAATTCGCGCTGAAGGGTTGGTATTTAGGGATTGGTTTTGGGTTGGGGGTTTGGGGTCGAATTTGCTTTGGACTGCTTCCATGAGACTGAAGAGGAGTCACTATAGCGATAGTCATTGCAGAATTTGCGCTAGAACAGGCACATACCGTAAGCTTTGCGTTTTGCGCAATCAGCGGAGCAATGGTAGCATTAGCGGTGCTGGTACTGAGCATCTGTCATGGTAGTGCTCTGCTCCACTTCACGTAACCCCCATTCAAGCTTTACCTGCCCTATATCAGGGCTCGGGGGTCTAAAGGGGTACAAGACACGTGAACGACTCAATGTCCCCAAACACCCAACCTAACCCCAAAACAACTCTTCGAACCCCAAACCCTAAACCCTACTTGGAGGGTCAGGGGAACTTAGTAAGTAGGTTAGCAATGGGGGTAATTAGGGTTACTGCATGGGTTATAGGGGTACTAACCTACCCCGACCCTCCAAGTAGGAACCCATTCCCCCCTAAACCCTAAACCCTAATCCCTTTAAACCCTAAACCCTAATCCCTTTAAACCCTAAACCCTAATCCCTTTAAACCCTAAACTCTAATCCCTAA